CTCTAAAGTAGAGAATTCAATTCTGGTCAGTTCATATCAAGTGGTGCGTTTACATCTTTCTGGTGCAGACATTTCTACCTCGTCTTGCTCGACAGCAAATTGGTAAAATTAAATGTGGCAGAACCTGAATTTGAAAAGTATTTGGAAAATATAGATTTTTTGCACAACAACGTTCTGCATAAAAAAATCTGTAATTTAAAACATCAGCATAGGCAAAGGTCCAACAATAATATTGAGCAGCCAAACCAACGATTGCGTACTGACGTTGAGATCTCTTCAGTTCCAAGCTAAATATAAATTTGCTCACCGAATGAAAAATATCTTTGAGTAAAAATCTCCCTCGAGACAGCAGCAGGACTGTCAACTTCTGCTGAATAATACATCAGATTATATAGTTATAATTGAAACTGCGACCTTTGGGAGCGGATGCCATTATTTCCATTTACACTTATTGTTAGAGGGGATCAAACCCCCAGCAGGGATTTTACAGAGCCGGAGATCATTTTCGAGATCTTTACACTGACTAGCTTTAATAAAGATTGATTTAAATTGCCTCCGATGTATTTATTTCGGGGTGGTTTTCTGGCAAATTATAGCACAATTATTGTTGTTTTATAGCGAAAAATTTGCAGGAACTAGCCGCTAGTTGTACAAATACAGCGGTTTTTTCCCGAGCGATATCAATCATTGTAACTAACTAGACAAGTTATGGATGCCATATGCACACACACTATGTCTCCCTTTCCGTGTAATTTTATGCACTTTTAAAGCACCTATTACAAAAGGCAGAATATATTTTATAAAGTAAACGAGCACCTGTGAAGCGTTTCCTTTTTACAAATTATGGCCAGTAAGCTTAACGCATTTATATTGTCATTTGATAGCCGGCCTCGGAAAGGTGTTTCACCAGGACCGTATTGAATACGAATCAACCGAACTGAGACTGAAAAATTTCGCTGAAGACTCGAGATGATGCGTAAAACCAGCCGAGGAGAGTGTTATTTCTCAAATCCTCAATAAAATCCATTAAAATTCTGCGTGGCCGTTTTATCGGTACAAAATATCATTGGCCAGTTCTTTTCAAACCCGGCTGTTTGCCTCACATTCTAATCGGTCATGATTTATGTATCCTCTGGACACGATCCGTTAACATTTACTGCCTGAAATTACTTAAACTAATTGAATAATATTTTAATAAAAGTCATAAATTCGAGGGGTCGAGGTTATCGGCGAATTGAGACTGAAAAATCAATTATTTAACGATTGATATCGACGGAAGTGGTGTGGAGCATAGTGAATAAAGAGCCATAAAATATAATTAGTCACCGTACATGAAAAATCAGTTGCGTAGTCCAATAACCATGGATTATGAAAGCAATTGGGGGGATTGCCTTAAGTATGATCTTCTGCTGGCTTTGGATCGGCCTCTCCTTTAGGACTGGAGGCGATTTTCGGGTTGCAAAATACACTAAACACTGGATTTTCGACAAGTCTTTCCAAGCCGAAGCAATTCACTACGCGTTCTGTACTTTACTCTCTACCCGTCCATACAACATCTCTAAACAATCACCTCGTTAAAATAACAAGATTCATTTCAACAACAAACGGTGAAAAAATGCATGTAAAAACACAGGGTTTTAGCTACAACCCGCATAATCAACACTTTTCAAAAGTTGATAGTTAACAAAATAATGAGGTTTAAAACGACGATGGTCAGATTTTTACTTCCTTGTCGGTTCTGTTTTTTTAAACATGAGAAAATCATAAAGATTGAAGTTATTCATTTTCCATCAGTAGAACTCGAATGACTAGTGAGTTTTGAATTGCAATTTCAGTTTTTTTAATGAAAAATTAACCATTTGCTCCTTTCCGAGCATTAAATCGTCCTGTTATTTGTTATGATATTAAACTTGTCGAGAAAGAGCTGTAACATCTAGAGTGTCTAATTTAAACTTTCGATCTTGGCTTTTGACATCCCCCCGTAGAAAAACAGAGTGAAGCACATGAAAACACATGGTTTCAGCTACAACTTGCCTAATTAACATTTTTTGCTAACGTTGACAATTAACGAAAGTTTTGTTTTCACTTCCAGTTGAAAATTTTCGTGCTCATTTTGTGCTTAATCTTTTTCTTGTCATAATTGGTCTTGTGTCTGCTCCTTTACGAGAAACCACTTGGAACCCATTTGAAGAAAATTGGAAGGTCTTCTTTTTTAATTTCAAAGGGTTTCCTTGGCATTTAAAACAAAGTAGCCAATTTAGAGTGATTCGAGCTGTTTGCAGCTATAAGGAGTGTTTCTTGGCCAATTACCCATTGAACAACGAAGGAAAACCGGTTGATTAAACAGTGCAAAAGATGACTTCCACCGATGTATTACTGAGGGAAAGAGTGTCTTTCTTCAAAGCATTGATTAGTGTAGACTGTAAAGCTCATCAGCCAAGTAAAGAAAGGAATCTTGATTAAGTAACGGCGGCCAGGTAATCATTCATAAACTGTTCTCCATTGTGTTTAACCGATGTTTTCAAAAATAAACGCTAGTTAATTAGCTGAAAACTTGGAAAAACGCCCAGGCGTCGGGCATTTCAAAAGAATGCATTATTACAATGATTGATTTGCTTACTTACTTACGTAGAATAAGAAGTCGCCCGAAAACAAAGCAGTATTGTTTACGGGGGAAAATAATGGTTTTGTCTACATAAGACCGCTTGTGCAATTAGGCGTGTTAACATCCGAACGACTTTATTAGGCGATTTGCTTTACAGCTGCTTATGCAAGTTTCCAGCCCACTTCCCTGATTAAATTCGCATTTCCAGTTGAAACATTTGCATAATCAGAAATTAATGAGATCGATGTTTAACATATTATGCCTCGTTTTTTCGTCGATTTTTATTCAAACCCCTTGTCTAATCCATCATGGCGTACACTGATACCACCTCTTTTCGAAAGCGCATGCAAAACGGGTTGAATGGTCAATTCATGTGGAAAACATCGGCGTGTATCCCAGCTGTCGATCTTCCTATTCCGAAGAAGAACACTTCACACAACTCTCAGGGAAAATTCGGATTTTGAGGCTTTCGACGTGCCTAATTAAAACTTTGAAATGATTAGCAGATTTTCTCGTCAAGGTGGATATTATTATTATTAAAATCCCGTCTTTTTCCTCTCACAGCTTTATCGGAACAACAGGAAAATTTGCCGACAGTTTTGACAAAGCGCCAGATGTGACTGATTTGCACGTAGGGGGGTCGTTAATATTAAAAGGATCTGTCTCGGTGTTTATGAAAAACTCAACACAATCTGTGTATTTTTATTTTGCAGGGGACGAATCCGGCCACATCGAAACGATCACCGTTTTTAAACTATATTCAATTTTCCTGCGGCCATTTGAAACGAAAACACGTTCCATGTGACCGAAAATATAATTTAATTAATCTATCACAGCGTGTAAACAAGGAACGCGTTCATAGGCATTGCCAATTAAATCAGATTTAATTGAAAATATTACCAGTGATAAGTTCTGGTTAATTATACAATTATTAATGAATGGATTCAACGCAATGGGTATCCCACACACCGTGAATTATTATTGAAATTCTAAACATATTTTCAACAGCAGCTCAACTCTGTTTGGATTTACCGGAAAAAAATCACCATTCAACAATTCGACAACACGAAAAGTTTGTTGGATCAACAAGCCAATGTTTATTGCCAACACTATGGAGATTAAAAAGTTACTAAGAGTTAAGCAGGAAAACTCAAATTAGTCGTTGCGAGAATATTGCGTTAAAACAGCAGCAGACATCATAAACGGGAATACAGGAATAATCATTAAATCAACACTAAGAAATGCTGGAGCAATTGCAGAAACAAACATTTTATCTTGCAAACAAAATTGTGTACTTTTTAGCATTGTTTTGCTTTGGCTGTCTTCAAGTGAATGAATCAGAGTAGGTATAATAATCATCAGTTAATGGACCCCAATTAACAGCCTAAAGAAAAAATTAAATCTAAAAGGTCTAATCATTCAGACTTCAATTTCTCCAAACCCACAAACAGCTAAATATTTGCAGTGTTATTTACCATTATATAAGAAGCATTGAAAAATGTGACAAACATTTTGAGTAAGCAGAAATCTAGAAAAAAGAAGTCTTCATAATTAACTAGTTAGTGACCCAATAGCATTTGAACTTCAAATAAGAATAAGTTTGCCTTGTAGATAATTTTTGCTAGCAACTTTCCTTGATGATGTTTCGTGGACAAAAACGACTCGACCCATTTTCACTCAATGAAGCTTGCAATTTCCCCATAAGGAAACATCCAAATTATTCTACTTTATTAAGGAAAAAATCGATACTTTGCAACATTTAGAAATGGGTTGCCAAACGTATCAATTCTATGGCACTGCAGTCCCAGTTTCGAGGACTTTTACCAGCACTTTTAACAAGGAAAACGAACCAGTTACACTCGAGAACAAACAAAATGAAAAGTTGGCAAAAGCGCGGAAATACCATTAAAAACTTAATATAACTAAGCACAACAAGAACATGAATGTAAAGAAAACTTACGTAAGTGCAACGCTTTAATCCCGTAAGATAATTTGGATGAATCTTTGTTTTTACCTGTTGAATTTAATAATATTGAAAAACTTAAGAATTATAAATAAAACATCGACGATGTTTGACTTTATGGGAAAGAAACCCTCCAATGTGTCTGATTCTTAAATTTTGCTTTTTGGCTCCAAACAACAAAAGACTGAATTTCTACTATATGACCCCCCTGACTAGAAACCTGGATCCGCCCCTGTTGACTAGTTTCTAGCATAATCAGGATTGAAGTAAAAAATAGACTCAGTTTGCAGACAATCCTTTAACTAGCAACTTTCTTTACTAGCAGAAAAAGTGTTTTTGCAATAAAAGTAGTGAAAGTAACTTTCAATTGCTGCAAATGATCTTAAATCTTAATGCAATTTCAGTTCCTTCTGCCAACTCATGCCATGAAAATTTGAACTGAAATACTACTGGAACTTAAACAAACAGTGAACTTTGGCTGGAACTGGAGAGAACACCACAAGCAAAACGTTCTGAAACTGTACGAGTGAAATGCCCTTTTATTGCCACAATGGACTCGCGAGTCCAAACAAGGATCTTGGATAGTTGCGTATAATTTCAGCGATTTAACCTGCATTAAGCGATGTTTCAGATCGGGTAGTTAAGCTGACATTTATGTGTTCTACATGGCCGTAATCCAAAAGCCGGTTTCATATCAATCACCGATGCAATAACACTAAATCTGCATACACATGAGGATTTGCTCGTTTCCTTATTTCTAGCCACTCAAAATATACCCGTTTGGCTGCTCGAAAGACTGATGGATTTCGTTTGGAATCTGTTAGCAAAAGTGGAAAATGATCAAGAAGAACAACAATGACCGATTTACAGAACCGTTAAGAAACTGCGACAAAGTTTAAAACAGATCGATATTTTTGGAGTGCAAATTCTTCAGCAGCATCTTCATAATCCAGCAAAACACAATCAATATTGAGTTGCTCGACGATTGAAACATTTTTGCACACCAAAACTCCCAGTTACTCCCCCAACAAGCAACGCTCTATTCGGGGTAGTAAATATGTCGTAGTGTGAGGCCGAAATGAAACCAACAAAACAAGTTTACATAATAGAGTAGATGTGCAGCGGTAGAAAAGTAGCCTGAAATGAATATAATTGCTAATTCATCGGCACCGAATAGCTGGGGGATTCGAATTTAACCATATATAAACGCAGTTGCGAGAATGGAATTATCGATTGGGCTGTGTTTTTAGGTGAGCCACAGTTTTCAGTTGCAATTTCGATAAACAGTAGTCAACGTTGAGCTTCGCACACATTTATGGTTATGCAAATGCGATCGCATGGCGAAACAGTTACCTAACAGTCTTCAGGCGATGTCTTCAGCGGTTTAATATGCTGCATGGACGGTTTGTAACGTGGAAGCGGAAGCAAGCGAAATTATCACGTAGAGAAGTCGGTACCCTACATTTCCTGTCCTCATCCTAGTTGAAGTTGAACGGTTTCAATTAGCCCGAGCCATTTCTAATGCCCGAAAGTCTAATTGGAGGTTCATATGGCTGAAGACGCCCAATTAATCGACGTGATTTATTTGAAAACAACCTATGGATAATTATTATGCCACTCTCGTTGCCACCTTGTTCTAAATTCCGCGCCTGAGGTGCTTTGGAGGCCTCGGCAAATTCTACTCGCTCACTAATCGAGTTTTATTAATAAAACTCCGTAAGACGCATTTTAACTACGCCATTAGCTTTATCTGGCTCCCAATATGGGATAATTGCTGGCATGTTCTGCACTACCACAACGTTAAAAATCAATGTGATCGAATAAGCGTCAATCACTGAAATGGACACGCTAATCCAAGCGATTTTGCGAAATTCCTCCACCGGAGAGGGCAGAAATCCGCCCAGAGGACGCGCTTATTAAATCACAGAGTCGGAAATAATAACTCAACCCTTCCAGATATATACGTGATTGCACGCCGTGTTTCCATAGAGATTGCTAATTCCAGAATTCGGAGGGCAATGCGCGAATCATTTTCACATCGTCGCGTTCCAATCGGCAAAGAGTTGGGGAAAATTGCGCCTGGATGCGAACACAGGCTCCTACTCAGGCCAATTGTTCTCATCTGCATCTCCTTGTTGCAGATATGCAATGGATTTGAATGGAGCGCGAAGAAAAAACGCCACTCGCGAAACCACCAGCACTCTTAAGGCGTGGCTCAATGAGCACAAGAAGAACCCCTATCCCACCAAGGGGGAGAAGATCATGTTGGCAATAATCACGAAAATGACTTTAACCCAGGTAAATTGCTACTGTCTCCCACTGGAAGCTGACTTCTAACTACGTTTCGATTTTGTGCAGGTATCCACATGGTTTGCCAACGCCCGGAGGAGGCTGAAGAAGGAAAACAAAATGACTTGGGAGCCGAGGAACAGGGTGGAGGACGACGATAATAATAACGACGATGATGATCAAGACCACAAAAGCACTGATGGAAAGGATATTTTAGGTGAGTTTTAGTAAAAGTAACGAACCAAACATTAGCAAACCCTTTTTTTACAAACTTCTTTTTGGGTATTTCGCCTCAAAAATTGTTGACTTTAAAAAAGACAGAATTTCCTCACGTCTTTTATTACAGATTGATAAATAGTGCTCCTATTTCGCAATAAGAACGAATTATTCATCAAAAAGTA